AAAAAAACCCCACCTAGTTTCACTTTTATTTAACAATTTGAGTTCATCAATAATTGCATTGATTTGATAGCCATTGTTTGCCTAGATTCATAGCCACTCCAGTCTCTTCTCCCCTGTTAACAACACTTGATTTTATCAAGGTTGCAAAGTACTCTATCCCAGGCAATGGCTTGTGATTGCTCTAAAGTTGCAATATCCACTATGGGTGACTGCTAGCCATGTGTAGCTACTGAGCATGTGAAATAAGGCCTGTCTGAATTCACATATTGTAAGTGTAAAATATATACTGGAGTGTAAGAAGCAAGTATAAAAACGTAAAATGTCCCATTAACAATTTAATATTAATTGCATGTTGAAATAATATTTTGTAGTTAATAATATTATTAATATATAATAATATTTTGGCTATGTCAGATTAAAATACATTAAAATTAATCTGCCTGCATCTTTTTGCTTAAAAATTCCATATTAGAAAATTACTTCAGTGGCTTGGATAAGTAACTATCATTTATCTAGTAGGAAAGTACTGAGCTAAGTCATTTAAAAACAAGCTTGCTTCTTTTCTCTTTCTCATCCTTCCTTTAAAGTAAGGATGGCCATGCGACCCATTCTGGCCAATGAAATCTGAGAAAAATTCTATTTGGAGGCTTTCTGGGAAACATTTTTTTTTTCTTGTGAGAAAGGACTGATGCTACATTGCTCTGTTCTTTTCATTTCCAGTATCTTTCTACATTGAGTTACAGATATCATGACAAGGTCTACTTCTGTTTAAAAAAAACCCATATTTTAAACCATTTTTAAAATGATCGATACTTATATGGGAGATAGTCCAAGAGAATAACAAGGAATTTTGATTCATTATTGCTATGTAAGCAAAATGACACCCTATTTATTTATTTAAACTACTATTGTTTCCACATTCTGTTCCATATAGCCAGATTAATTATTAACTGATAAAATTCTATCTAGTACTATCCTCAGAGTGGATTGGATTGTGTGGAACCACTATATCTGTTCTCAGCACACTCTGACTGCTATGTATTTATGTTTGCTTTTAAACTGTAATTTTTAAAGATTATCATTTGTTGGATGAAGTGTTCTGCAAGTGTCAGATAGATGAAGTTGGTTTATAGTGTTATTCAAGTCTTCCATATCCACATTAATATTTTGTCCATTTATTTATCAATTATTGAAGAGAGAGGTGTTGAAATCTTCTAGTATAATTATGAGCTAACAGTTTCTCCTTGAAATTCTACCAGTTTTTTTGCTCATGGTTTCTTCTTGAAATTCTACCAGTTTTTTGCTTCTTCTTCTTCTTCTTTTTTTTTTTTTTGAGACAGGGGTCTGCTGAGGCTAAAGTACAATAGTTCAATCATAGCTCACTGCAGCCACAAACTCCTGTGTTCAAGTAATCTTCCTGCCTCAGCCTCTGAAGTAGCTAGGACACCACTATGCCCAGAAATTTTTTTTTAATTTGGGGGAAGGCATATAGAAAGGGGGTCTCACTATGTTGCCTAGGCCAGTCTCAAACTCCTGGCCTCAAGTGATCCTCCTACCTAGGCCTTCTAAAATGTTGAGATTATAGGCACGAGCCACTGCATGTGGCCAACTTCATGTATTTTGATACTCTGTTATTAGGTACGTAAATATTTGGGATGGTTATGCCTCCTGATGAGCTGATGCCCTTTATCCTTACAAAATGACCTTCTTTGTCTCTGATATTTTTGTTCTAAAAATATACTATATCTGATATTAACATAGTTACTCCAGCTTTCTTTTGATTATGTTAGCATGTTATATTTTCCCCATCATTTTATTTTTAGCCTATTCTGTTTTTACACATATTTAAAATGGGTTTCTTGTAAACAGCAAATGGTTAGGTTCTGCTGTTTTATTCAATCTGACAATCTTGCCTGCTAATTTGAGGTGTTTAGGACATTCACATAAATATTGGATAGAAGTCACCAGTGAAGCGTCACAAATTTTAGTTACCTCAGTAACCCCAGATTTCAATCTCTTTTCCCTCCATTTAACAAAACACTGCTGCTTGATGTTTGGGTTTCACTTTCTTGTGCTGGATTGAGAAATATCCCCAGGCAGAAAGCTAGGGAGAATAGATGATTCACTTTGTTCTTGATCATAACCATACTGACCTAGTTATCCAATGCCTGAAAAGCCTTTCTTCATGTGTCTTATCTAGTTTTATGTTTGTCTATGATTAAAGCATAAATTCAGCCATGCACAACCATAGTCCACACACAACCACAGTCAGGACTGAAGGTAGAGTAATGTTGTATAATGAAAATCCAATTATATTGGATCAGTTTTTAACTTTAAACTCTCCATCTAAGTTGAGAGTCACCTTATTCAGAGGAAAATTCAAGTTATTTTCTATAACCAACAAGATTCCACAGGAGCTGGTTCCCTACCACCAATCTAATCCCATCTCCTGCCATTCTCCTCTTCATTTTGCTGTAGCCATACTGGCCTTTTTGCTATTCTTTAACATACCAAGCTTTTCTACTTCTTCCCTCTACCTATAAAGCTCTTTCCCCAAACCCTCCCATAATTTATTCACTGACTTCATTCATGTCTCAGTTCAAATGTTACCTTTGCCGAGTGGTCTTCCCCGAACCTCTGACAGAGAACTCTATCTTTTTATTATGTTTTATGTATGTTCATAGCTCTTAGCACTTTTTAAACTTATACTATACATTATCTAATGTCTTCCTGACATTCACAATTTCCTTTTGCAACTTGTCCTCTCTGGCTTTGTACTTCAAAAGCATCATAGATGATATATAAACAAGTGGGCGTTGATCTCTTCTAATATAATTTCATTTGCAAATAAAAGTGGGCTGTAATTTGCCAACTCCTGGACTAGACAATCAATATCTTGGGTCTGACTTACACAGGTATAACCTAAAGTTATCTTATATGTAAAAATGACCTCTATTATAAGCATCACAGCTCCTCCAAGATAGCTATAGATAGTACTGGTGCAATCTCCAGAACTTCTGTAGTGTCTACTGGAGAAATTCCTGACTTAAAAAAACAACAACAAAAATGACTTATTTTATAGGAATTCTGCCCCAATCATTTATCAGAAAACTGTTAAAAATTACTCTCATTTTTATTTATTTATTTTTTCCCTGAATAGAGTGCTGTGGTGTCATAGCTCAAAGCAACTTCAGACTCTTGAAGCACCTGCCATAGGCCAAGCTAGTTTTTCTATTTTTAATAGAGATGAGGTCTCTCTCTTACTCAGATTGGTATAGAACTCCATGAGCTCAGGTGATTCACTCATCTCAGCCTCCCAGACTGCTAAGAGCTTCTGTGGATATAGCAATTAGGAATGCTTTCAGCTATAAGCAACAGAAGAGCAGACCAGCTATGACTTAATCATCAGGACATTTATTGTTCTCTTAATGGAAGTCTGGAGATAGGACAGTTTAGTGATTCAGTGAGGACACCAGATCTTTTCATTTGGCCATTCTACCACCCTCAGTTTGTTGGCTTTTGTTTTTCAACTTAAAGCTTCATGAGGACAAGATGGCTACCACAGTTTCAAGCATTGTGGCCTTACATAAGGGTCCAAAGCAGAAAAGGATGGAAAAGATCAATAATAGTGTCTCTCTTTTATCATGGAAGGAAATCTCTATTACAAATCTCCCAGCAGACTTCCCTGAAAATAAAGGAGGGGCCAGGCGTGGTGGCTCACACCTGTAATCCTAGCACTCTGGGAGGCTAAGGCAGGTAGATTGCTTGAGCTCAGGTGTTCAAGGCCAGCATGAGCAATAGCTCATCTACTGAAAAATAGAAAAACCAGCTGGGTGTCATGGTAGGCATCTGTAATCCCAGCTACTCAGGAGGCTGAGGCAGAAGGATCATGTGAGCCCAAGAGACTGAGGTGTCTGTGAGCTATGATGACACCACGACACCTTACCAAGGATGAAAAAGTGAGATTCTGTCTACAAAGGAAAATTAAATAAAAAATAGAGGCCCTGGAAGAGGATTAAGGGTCTAGAATGTGAAGAGAACTTTGTCCAACAGCCACTGGAAGTTGGTTTCAACATTTTAGTTCTGACCTTATTGACAGGTTTAACTCATGGTTTGATGAAAAAATTCAACCAGTGTGAAATTCCAGAATACAGACTATCTATGAGTTAGGACACACAGACCTTCTATGACCCCATTTTGTGGCTGAAGCATCAGTGCAAAGGAGAGACGATTCAACTGGGTTTTTCTAATTATGCATCCTCTCTCGTGGGGATGATAGTCCTGTGAACAGGGATGGATAAATAAGGGCTTCCAGGGCCTGACTTAAAAAAAAAAAATCTACCATTTAAGCCCCCGGACCCTCTCAGCCCTTCTGCATTCTCTTACTCTGCCCACGTGGCTGTTGAAGATCTGTTCTCACTGCAGCTGTCACTCTTCACTCTCCTACCCCTGTTCACCTGGCTCTGGTCCATCCACCCCTCTCCTCACTGCAGCTGCTATTGCTTCTGCTCTCACAGAGGTGTGGATGAATTACCTGCTCACCACTGCTCATAGCTCTGTTTTAGGATTCCAGCGTTTGCATGCCTCTTAGTTTATGGGCATGCTGCCAAAGAATCCAGTGCATTTCCTAAGGGCTGGGTGGAAGTGAATTTGAATGACACAATTATATGTCTCCCTAAAAAGTTTTCTTCCTTACCACTAACAATGGGTATCAAAAGGATTCTAGACATCTTGACCTTCTCCTGCTTAAGATGGGGTGGTACATCTTTCCTCTTCTTTTGAATAGGAGAGTATCAATTGTGGCTTCTTGAGATTTCCATCTCAATATTTCTCTCAAGACCACAAGCAAGTTCTTGAGCATATAGAACTCCCAGAAGCCTGTCATTTTACTCCAAATTTCCAAAGTGAGTCTGATGATTAGATTCTTCCTTGCTTCTCATCTTTTCCCAATATACTTAAGGTAAAGCCATTAATATCTTAAACCTTGGTTTTTATCATACTCACTTCTGCAGCGCATGTACTAAAATTGGAATGGTACAGAGAAGTTTGGCAGGGCCCTGGCATCCAAACAAGGATGGCATGCACATTCATGCAGCATTTCATATTATTAAAAGGATAAAATCCTGTTATTTGTGGCAAAATGAATGGACCTGGAGCACAATATTTTAAGTGAAATAAAATAGACACAGAAAGGCAGATACCCATGCTCTCACTCATATTTGGAATTCAAAAAGTTGTTTTTATAGAAGTAGAATAGTTGTTACCAGAGTGTGTGGAGGGGAGATCAGAGAGGAATGGTAAGAGATTGGTTAATGTGTGCAAAGCTACAGATAGGACCAAAAATGTTCTGGTGTTCTATTGCATGATGGGATGACTAGAGTTGCCAGTAAGATATTGTATATTTGAAGATAGCTAGAAGAGAGGTTTTTGATGTTCTTATCACAAGAAATGTTAAATACTAAAGGTGGTGGTATTGCTAATTGCCCTGATTTGATGGTAACACAATGTGTACAAGTGTAACTAAAACATCACTTTGTATTCCATAAATATGTATAATTAGCATATATCCATCACGAATTTAAAAACACTTATAAATCATTGGTTTTTATGGAATGGAAGAAATAGTTCTATGCATTTTCTAGCACACCACCTATTCCCTTCCTATTCAGAACCTCTGAGCATTGATACATGCTGGCAGACTCAGGGCCATGGAAGAGGTACATCAAACACTACGAATCCTTCAAACAGTATGGAGGACAGAATTTGATAAAACTTAGAGGATTTGACATAGAATCTGTATGCCTGAATTATAAATTTGGAAATTTTCCCCATAGAGATGATATTTGAAGTTTCAGAAGAGGTATTAATTAATTTAGTCAATAAAAATTAATTAGGACCCTATGTGGTTGACACTTTTCTAGATACTTATAAAACATGATCAAATGGGGGTGGGGAGTTATTGTTTACTGACTATGGAGTCTCAGTTTTGCTAGATAAAAAGAGTTCTGGAGATGGATGGTGGTGGTGGTTGCACAACAATATGGATGTTCTTAATACCACTGAAATATAAGCTTAAAAACGCTCAAGATAGTAAATTTTATGTGTATTTTACCACAATAAAAATTAGAAACAAAATAATATAAAAAGAATAAACAAATACATGAATACATAAAAATAGGAGTAAACAAAAAAGATCTTTGCCTTCACGGAGCTCATAATCTAGCAGGGAGAAATAGACATTAAATAATTTAATTATTTACACAGTAGATGGTAGTAAATACTATAGAAATCAGAACAGGGTAAGAGGGGTTAAGCATTCTGAGGTGGGTTGCTATTCTAGATGGGACTGAGACCTTCTTGACCAAAGACATAGAGATGATGGAATTGGACACATAAATATTGAGGGGGAAAACATTTCAAAACAGTGGGAACACCTGGTCTAAAAATCCTAAGTGAGAGGATGCCTGGCACGTTCTGGAGACTTCAAGGGTGTCTGTGTGGCTGGGACAGGCTGAGAGAGGGGAAGGATGGTGTCTGGTAGCAGTTGAGGTCACAGGGGTGAGGAGAGGTCAAATCATATAGGTTCTTGAGGTCATTGGAAGGACCAATGGTTTTTACGCTGAGAGAAATGGAACGAACCATTGCAAAGTTTTAAGATAAGGAATGAATTATGTGACATTTTATTATTCTGTTAATTTTTTTTTTGAGACATAGTCTCACTCTGTCGCCCTGAGTGGAGTGCTGTGGCATCATAGCTCACAGCAACCTCAAACTCTTGAGCTTGAGCAATCCTCTTACTTCAGCCTCTTGAGTAGCTGGGGTGACAGGCATCTGTCACCGTATCTGGCAAATTTTTTTCTATTTTTAGTAGAGATACCTCTTGCTCTGGCCGGTCTTGAACTCCTGACTTCAAGTAATCCACCCACTTTGAGCTCCCAGAGTGCTAGAATTATAGGCATGAGCCACTGCACCTGGCCACGTGACGTATTTTGAAAGGATAATTACAGATAGAATAGACTCAAGATGGTAGGAAAAGTAGCAGGAGGCTGTCATGTTAGCCTTCAGGTGAGACATAATGAGTGGTACCTTGGCCTAGAGTAGTAACAGTGGTGGTGGGAAATGGTTAGGTTTTTCATGTATTTTAAAGGTAGTGCCAATAGACTTTCCCGAAGGATTGGAGACAGGGTGGAGAAAAAAGGAATCAAGAATGACTCCAAAGTTTATGACGTGAGCACCAGAATTGCTGGAGTGCCATCCTGGGAGAGGCTTTGAGTGAGCAGGATTTTGGAGGGGAAGACCAGGAGTTCAGTTTTAAATACTCTGATTTAGCTCTATCATTACAATTTGTTTTTTGAAGTTGCATAAGTGACAGTCATGAAAAGCATGAGTCAGTGGCAGAGCTCTTACAGTCCTGCATCCTCTTTTTCCTTCCACATCTAAAAGGACACGCCCACTCTGAGCCAAGACTGTGTGAAAGATACTAGCTCACTGACTCATGCTTTCCATGCCCTTGTTTGTGCAGCTTAACGAAACTAACTGTAATGATGGCAGTGCTGACATCTCCTGAGCTCTCACTGGGCACTGGACACAGGCCATTTAACTCATGGTAACGTGGGTTCCTGAAGGAAATGCAAAGCTGCACTTAGAGGCCAGTGAGATTGATTCCCATCCAAGTTCATGGAACCCGTTTTTGATCCTTGGACCCCAGGTTGAGAATACTGGGATGTTTTACAGTTTACAAACATCTCTTGTTGTACATTTTTCATCCCCACAAGTCTTAGCGGGGTAGGTCAGTGGAGTTATCCTTGTCATGCTTAGAGGGTCTGAGTGGCTTGCCCAAGATAGAAACAAAAGTTCAAGGTGCCAGGTTTTTTGACTTCAAGACCAACAATTTCCTAATACCCCCTGCCAGCCAACTTTTCATTTAGAACATTTTTAAACTTACAAAAAGTTTAGAATAGTATGGTAGATGAACACATGTATACCTTGTTC